AGGAGGAGGAGGGGAAACTAGGGGGTCCGGGGGCCTGGTCGAATCACTGGCAGCAAGAACAAGTCCGCACCTGCAGCTACAACACACACGCATCTATTGACTATATATAACAACATTATATATAGTTATATATAACAACTATAGCTACTATAACAACTATAACTACTATATCAACTATATATAATGTTGTTATATATAGTCGTGTGTGCTGTAGCTGCAGGTGCGGACTTGTTCTTGCTGCCAGTGGGCAGTGGGTCGAATGAGAATTCTTGCCGAGGGCGAGGTGGCCCCTCAATTGCCAGTAGCAGCAGCGCCTCCAAAGCTGACTCACTCAGCCTGTTCCTCATGTAGCCATTCCCATTAAAAAAAAAAGATTGAAACGGGGGGGGGAGTTTTCCCAAACGGGGCGGGCGCGCCCGGTTTCCGCAACGTAGGGAGAAGCCTGATATGGTAACTGTGACTTTGTAAGACAGTAACATAATATGGTAACTGTGACTTTGTAAGACAGTAACATAATATGGTAGATGTGTTTGTATGACAGTAACATAATATGGTAGATGTGTTTGTATGACAGTAACATAATATGGGGACTGTGAGTTTGTATCATAGTAACATAATATGGTTACTATGCTGCTCTCTAGATTTCAGTAACTATAAACACCAAGTTTTATATATAATCACAGCAATATGGGCAATGATTACTATTTAAAGTGTGTACCGCGAGAATTTTCTAGTGTTTTCCCCACTTTCATGATACCTACCGTTATTGCTTGAGTAACAGCAATTGTCTAGAGTAATGATAAAATGTCTTAGAACCTTCGTATTCACCAAATCCAATGAAATCATGCATTCATGATTACAATTTTGTGTTCTGTTTCTGTTTACCGTTGCCATCTCTCGAATTTTCTCGTGGTAGCGTGAGACATCTATCACGGTGCAGCAATGCATACCACGCACCGTAGAAATCAGGTCATCTGGAATGTAAACACAGCCGCTCATACTAGCGTAAACAGCAGTGTAGTACTAATGCCACGTAAAGTCTGTTATTAGAGAAATCTTGGGATTGCCAGTCAGAGTGTAACTAGGAATGACAATGACAGAAAGTGCTCTGATTATTGACATAAAACTCAATAATATTTATAAACAGAATTGCACCGCCCCTTTTGTTTTAATTATGTTCGCTTGTTTGAGACGCCATTTGTAATTTTGAGAGTCACTACTCGGAAAAATTTATTGCTGGTATGATGTGGTCAAATCAATTTTCTATGCTATAACTGCATAAAAATCTTGGGTTTTGAATATCTGTATAATCAGTGATATTTCCACTGTCAGGTGAGACTATATTCTGCTATATTTCGTTTTTCTGAGCCAAAAAACTCGCGGTACACACTTTAACATAACTGAATTTGTACAATAGTAACGTAATGTGGTTACTGTGTTGTTTACTAGATTTCAAAACAAAACAATATATTATGTTTCCTTTAAACATTACTATATCAATTTTTGCACGGAATATGCAAATTTTCTTATCAACAATATTTATATTCTCAGAACAATTGTGGTCCAGACACAGATGTTTCAACAACCTCATCCAACACAGAAGAGTGTTTATAATTTCTGTTGTGTTTCCCTAGGATTCTGGAAACATCCCGGAAGCTATTGCCTCATACCGTATGGCGTTGAAGTTGAAGCCAAATTTCCCAGATGCCTACTGCAACCTTGCTCACTGTCTTCAGGTACTATAGAATGTTAATAATAACCAAAGCTGTATTCACGCCATACCTCTTAAATTATGAGGATTAGAAATTGGCTTTTTGGCCAGGCAGCAAGTACTTGCTGCCAGAGAAAAATGCAGACAGCAAACTTATTTGCCCAACCATAAAATTGAGAAACCCATAACAGTTGCAGTCCCTCCCATTGCCTCTGTCCATAATACCCCCGTCACACCGGGGTGGCGTCCTTACTGCGCTGCTACGGCGACGGAAAATGGGCCCAGAGCGCGCCAAGGTCGCCATAAGCGTGGTATAAGCGTGGTGGAAACGCCAGACATCGTGGTGTGGTCGCCAATGATCGCCGAGTCACGGCGTTTGTTTTGAGCATGTTCAAAACAAACGCCAAGGTTTGGTGATCTGACCTGGAACGCGGTGAGAACGCGGTGGGGTCGCGAAGGTCGTGAGACAATCGTCGTAACATCTCCATAAACGTAGTACACGCGCAGTACACGCGTGGCAAAGACGCTGCGAAAATGGTAACATTTTCAACGGCGAATTCATGGATCTGTCTCATCCGATTTGCCGATCTGTTTCATGCCGATCTGTCTCGGCCACGGCCACGGCCTCGGCCTCTGGTAGCTTGTTTCTTCGGCATCGTGTTTCTACTCAGCAAACGCACAACTATACAGTTAAAATTTCCGAAAATCTGACCAGCTTATATAGTCGCCGTGAGAACGTGGTAGAAACGCCGTGCAGTCGCGATACACGTAGAAGACGCGCGGTAAGAACCCAATGAGCGTGGTGAGAGCGCCGCGGGAACGCCGGTGATCGCCGTTGCCAAGCCCATAGATCTCAATAGAAACGCCATAAGCGCGGAGAGGTCGTGGCCGGCGCGCCGTGAGAACGCGGTATGATCGCACAGGTCGCGGTAAGAGCGCAGTTTTTTTTCAAGTTTGTAATTTGTTGGCACTTTTTCTCGCGTTGTGTTTGCGTTTGCCGGCGACCTTGTACATTTTCTGGTCGCCGTACGGTCGTGGATGGTCGCCGTCCGGTGTGACGGGGGTATAAGGAAGCTGGTTTGGGCTCCTATCGGTAATTCAAATTATAGTCATCTATGCTTAACTGAAGTTGCACATAAACTGAAGAGCAGACGGTAACATAGGGTCAATGCGACTTGAAAAGATCACCCTGAACAACTGGTCATCGTTTTTACCAGAAATTGTCTGTAACTTAACAGGCTCTTACTACTGTTTAGGTATGAATTTCTTGGTAGCAAGTATTTGCTGCTTACATTGAGAGCAGGCAGCAAACAGCCCCTTGTAGGCAGCAAAACTGCTGCTTGCTGTCCTTAAGTTTGAACCCTGTTATTTATAATCAAGATCCTTGTCTACAGATTGTCTGTGACTGGACAGACTATGAAGCTCGCATGAAAAAACTTGTAGCGATAGTAGCAGAACAGCTGGAAAAGAACCGTCTCCCTTCAGTACATCCACATCACAGCATGCTGTACCCGTTGTCGCACGACTTCCGCAAGGCAATTGCAGCGAGACATGCACAGCTTTGCGTTGAGAAGGTATATCATGCAAATTTTCTTTGGCGTTAATATGGCGCCAGTTTAGTTCCTTTTAAGTTTATTGGTAAAAAATTTTGGTAGTCGCAGAGAAATAAACCATGAAGCAAGTGCAAAAGAAAGATCTCATTAGTTGTCTGATTTTTATCTGCATAATTTCATGCCATCATAAACCTCTGTAGAACATGCAGTTTAAAAGTTTAGTATGTTGCTAGCCATTGAATTTATCAAATGTATGATGTTAAAATAGCAAACCTGGCTGTTTTATGGTGGTAATATTTTAATTTTTTATTTAATATTGTATATTTGCAAAATGTGTTTAATATCGATATTGTAGATCTGTAAATTTTCTTCCCTTAGAAATAAGCGAGGAGATAGAATTGGTGTGTTGACGTGTTTTGTCTGTAGTCATTATACTTGCTCGCTTCAATACTGCAAATATTTTTCATTAATAATAATTGCAGGTATGTGTACTACACAAGCAACCATACAAGTACCCAAAGGCAATTAATGGAAGGCTGCGCATTGCCTATGTTAGTTCTGACTTCTGCAATCATCCCACCTCACATCTGATGCAGAGTATTCCTGGATTCCACAATAGAGGTACCATTGAGGTGAGTAACATCAGCTTACTAGATATTATGTAAGGGGTGCCGTAATTGAATGTGATGTCAGAGTGGTAGATTCTGATGGTGCCAGTGCAGTGATACTTAGGCAAGTCACCATTGCATGATAAAATCGCCATACCCTTTCGTGCGAGATGATGCAAACAGTCAATCCATTCTCAGAGCTATGTTCGTGTCTATGCCTTTTGTGTTGGACCACAGTCAGGGTTCTCTTGGCTGAGGAAAAAGCACCAGGTTACAGCACGGGCAGGGAGATGTGTTACCATAACATCTTTTGAACCCACTGAAGTAACGTTGGAGCTGATCGCATGTATATGTAAAATGTATCTAAATGCCTATAAACATCAGAATGATTATGGACTGTATCCTTATCTATTTTTATGTGTACCTTCATATTCCAAAGGTGTTTTGCTACTCCTTGAGTCCAGATGACAACACAACCTTTAGAGCAAAGATTGCAAATGAAGCAGAACACTTCGTTGATCTATCTGCGGTTAGTAAAGTTTTTATGTATACAATAAGTGGAAAAATTTGTCCTATTTTTGTCTTAAAAGAAAAGGGTGGTGTGCATCCATTTACACTTCCATTTTAATAAATTCAGCCACATGTACCTGTGTACCTACATATATCTATATATACATTATATACATATACCTATACCTATACCTATATACCTACATCAGTTCTGCCAGTATAGGTGAGCCATGATGGCTGGAAGTTATTACACGCTTGGGCATTAGTCATTGGTCATTGTTTGTTTGTAATGTATATAAATGTTAACGATGTAGACATTCTCCTTCAGCTTCCAGACAACGGGAAAGCAGCTGATCGCATCAACACGGATGGCATCCACATTCTTGTTAACATGAATGGGTACACTAAGGGTGCCAGAAATGAGATATTTGCTCTTCGCCCTGCTCCAATTCAGGTATGTTGCTTCTGGTTTATTTAATTGACCTATCAACCTGGCGTGATTGACAGGTAGCTTTGGTCAATATGCATTGCAGTAGGGACATTCTCTAAATTCCGCTTGGTAATGGGTTGTCACATAATGTGGGGTGCACGTATGGAAAACACGTGTAAATTATATGAACTTGATCCACCCACTTTGGAACAATATGCAAGGAAGGCATGTTTATCTCACTAATACTGATATGTATTCTCTATATAGGTAATGTGGCTTGGCTACCCTGGTACAAGTGGAGCGCCCTTCATGGACTACCTTGTCACTGATAAGGTCACCTCACCACTGGAGCTTGCCAGCCAATACTCGGAAAAGCTGGCTTACATGCCGCACACGTTCTTCATTGGCGACCACATGCAGATGTTTCCGCACATGATCGAGCGCGTGCTCATCGACAACAAGGATAGCCCGACCGTCAGTGACAATGTCTCCATCATGAATGCTACAGATCTGACGCCGATAATTGATCAGGCACCTGAGGTCAAGGTTAGTGTCAAGGTAGGGGGGGGGGTCGGCATACTGGAGCAGCTGTGCACATTTAATTTTTTGGAAGAGGATAATGAAATTTATGTTTAGTGCGAGATGATGCAAACAGTCAATCCATTCTCAGAGCTGTGTCTGTGTCTAGTGTGTTAGACTAGAGTCTGGGTTCTCTTGTGCTCAGGAATAGCCACCAGGTCACAGCACAGGCAGGGAGATGTATCGATAACATCTCTTGAACCCGCTGAAGTCGAATTGGGGCTGATCACACTATTGACTAAATGAATTGCCATTATTATCTGTTATCTTTTACAATTATTCATGGTGTTAATACTGGTTTGCCTTGTTAAATAAAACCTAGTTTACCAGATGTTTCTGTACCAGACAGGAAAAAATTGTCAATTAATAAATACAGTATAATAGTAATTATACTGTAATTCAACGTTCAAGAAAAAACTCAATTAAACATAACTGAAGGAGAATTAATGGTAATATCTGCCACCACCATCCTGGTCACCACCACATGCTAAGTAGTTGTGTGCGGCCTCCTGGCGTCATCTTACCAAGCTATGTGTTGCATATTCCTCGTGGATACTGTTAGGATTGGGAGGTGATTTTCGGTCGAAATTTCAGTACCCACTTTATTTGATAGATCGCATCCATGGGCAGCTAGCCAATGTATACGTAGAAGTTATGTATGTAGCCTCCCAAACAGTTCCATATCCCCGCATTAGATTAGTCAATTCTTAACACAGGCGTTTCAATCATGGGAAATTTAGAAAAGGGCTAATATCTCCATTGTTAGAAATGCTGAAGTGGCTGATTTTTCAAACGCTATTTCTCGAAACTGATTCCAACAATTTTTGTGACGTTTCAATGCTAACATGTCAATGGAAAAAAGGTTCCCTGGATTTTTTTTTAATTATATTGTAAGTTATGGCTCTGTGTACAAAATTGTTCCGTTTTGAAAATCACTACAAATTTTCGTACATCTTCTCAACTTATTTCCTAAACTAAAGAATTTTTTTTTAATTCCAGGGACATTTTTTAGTTCATATTATGAACAACTTATGGTTAAAGGTTTAGGTCCCAACTCTGCTATTTCTGAGAAATGACAAAAAAAAACGTTTTTTAGCTCACCTTGACATCGTCAAGATGAGCCATTGCCATGGGGTGTCGTCCGCCGTATGTCCGTCCGTTCGTCAACATTTGGCTACGGTCAACGATAACTTGAGAACCAGGGGTTATATATATCACAGGGCTTTTGATTTTTTTTTTTTTTATGCAAAAATTACATAATTTTAGGTAGATTTTGCCAATTTCACTACGCATTTCAGTGTCTGCCTACGGTCAAAGATAACTCAAGAACCGTTTGACCCACATGTTTCAAATTGCATACAGTTATTACTCCTATGGGAGAGATTTGAACGTCCTATTTTGGAACACGCCAGTCTACCTACTTTCGAGCCACGCCAACTTTTTAGCAAAAATGGAAATGGCCATAAGTCAGTTCAGGTTCAATGGATATTGCTCATTTTTGGTATGTGAATGAATAAGGACTGGCCCCAAAATTTATCACACAGGTTTTGATATTTTTAGCTCATCTGACATAGTCAGATGCAGCTTGTAGAATCGCATGATTGTCCATCCGTCAACAGTTGGGCACAAATCTTAACCGCTCGACGTACGGATTCGAAAGTCGGGACGTGGGTGTGTAATCTGAAAACGAGTTGGGATGTTGAAGCTGGGGGTCAAAGGTCAAAGGTCAAGAGGTGTAAAAGAAGGGGAACATTCCCTCCTTAACCTAAGGTATAGGGGGGAAATGCAGAATTGCGGCACAAATCTAAACGGCTCGACCTAGACTCGTGATCGTCGGTGTATAGCATCATGGTAGGAAAAGCCATCACTGTGCCGAAATTGGAGGTCAAAGGTCAATGGGGCACAGGGCAGATTTTACACATTTTCTGAGGACATGGTCTGACGGAGCGATTGGAAAACCTTTTTGTTTCAGCGTGACTACCCTTTATGGCTTTTGAACGAACCATAAAATGACTTCGCTGACATGCCAAGGAGCTAATTGTCGATAACCTTTGACCCTCAAGAGAGGGTTACACATTGATTGTTGACTGTTACAAAAGCACTGAACCTTTGCAATATAGAGCCCATACCTGTGTGAATGTCGAGGTTACAGTTGCACAGTTTAATTGCAAGGCATAATGTTTGTTGAACAAGTTTATGCTCCTAAACTCAACTTATTCTAAGGAGTCTCTATAGCAGCCCTGAAATAGTGCTGAATGCTGGCGCGTGGGTAGGCCAACAAACACGGGCCATCCCATTGCTGCACCTTCTAATCATAATTGTTGCCTTCCAACGGCTGCAATCTGCACATTTTTAACTCCACAGCGAGCCGGAAATTATGCCTGCACTGAATATGTAACTTGGATTTTAAGCCTCTTAGGATTTCAGACTCCCAGGGAGCTAGAGAAGCGATGCCATCTGATTATTTGATGACACTGCAACGCCCAGTCTGCGCGGAACTATAGGCTTATCTTAAATTAGATTTATCACATGTAACTTTGTTAAACTTAATACAATAATAACTAGAAACATAATAATAGATTTACTTTCATCTTGAATCTGAACATATATCAACTGTAAGCTATGGCCTGTGGGTGGGTTTACCAGTTAGAGCAACACAAGCTGTTACAGATAGAATAGTTAGAGACACATATAATTATTATTTCTATTGCTGCTTACATTCGGGGCATAGTAACGACGATTCATGAGCGTGGCAGTAAAAGGCATCATCGTGTTTTTCTTTAATTTATAATTAAGAGAGAGAGAGAAAGTCTAAGATATAACGATAGAGAGAGAGAGAGAGTAGTAAATTGATACGGTGGAAGGACAAAGGTGATACGTGTGTATGCTAAGCAGCGAAAACGGGTACAATTAGGCTTCTTGCATGATGTCTGCACAAGGGGATGGGAAGTTGCAGGCAGGGGAGCAGAGAATGTAAGGGGTGAAGTGAGATGCCACGGGTAGTGAAGCCGGGAGTTCAGGGGGAGGAGGTGAGGGCAGAAGGAGGAGTGGGACGCAGTGCGGTGATGCTGCGAGAAGGACCCTCCCCCCCCCGCCGCCTGGCGCAGTGTTTCTAATTAAACTTGAGATCCATGCTCATCATGTGACAATTTGTTTATTCAACGGTCCAATGTCATTACATTAACAGTTGTAATTTTGAATTGTTATTATTAGTCTTGTTATTAGAATTAGCCGCCATAGCGATCTAGGGGTGGTGCGACAAGGTATGCCCGTCGATATGACGGCCTTGGTGTGTCGAGACTTGGCTACGATAAGTGGGCCAATTCAAGACAAGAATAAAGAGAAGGACTTATGTATAACCGGGGTGAGACCCGTCTTGCTATGCCCACAATGAGAGTCTATCGCCAGCCCCGACATACACAAGACCAGATAGCCCTGTCGCACTGCGGCACGTTGTGTTTTAAATACGCAACCTCTAGGCTAGATTTAGCCGATCCCACTATCATTTCAGTGTTCATAGCGGTCAACGATAACTCAAGAGCCGTTTGACCCACATGTTTAAAATTGCATACAGTTGTTACTCCTATGGGAGGGATCTGAACGTCCTATTTTGGAGCACGCCAGTCGACCTACTTTCGAGCCACGCTCACTTTTTGGCAAAAATGAAAATGGCCATCTAGATTCATTCGATTTTGTTAAATTTACCTGCCTACCTACCTACCTAATCATACCTATGTGTAATATTGTGTTTTAGATTCTTCGTTACAGTAATTTGACTGGAATATTTTATTGCTTTTATTTGCGCGATAATCGAAAACCAAAATGGTGATCATTTAGGCGTAGCGCCATCTCTCGCCCAGATTTCAGACTTTCAGATTTGAAACATTTATTTTCGCATCAAAACTAACCCTGAAACAAAACAGTGAAATTTCTATTAGTATAAAATAAGGACATTCGATCACATTTTGGTCCGTCATAAATGAAACACATGCCAAATTTTAAATATCATCTCCCTCTTCTGTCACACCCAATGTGAGCTATAGTGTCATTGACACTTTCATTGTATCCCCCGAACGAGTTCGGGGGGATACTATGGATTTGGCCTCGTCGCGCCGCCGCCGCCTTGTGAGCTTTCTACCGGCTGCAGTTCTTCTCGGATCATCTTCAAATTTCGCATGAAGGTGCGTTATCGTAAAGCGAAGACGCCAATCGTTTTTCGTGTGGGCGGAGTCATCGTTGCCATGGTAACAACATTTTTTGTCGAAATATTCTAGAACCTGTTACTTCTGCAGTTTTTACCCAATTGTCATGAAATTTGGCACACAGGACCAATATATATACATATATATATATAGGACATGTTATATCGGCCCTGTGTGCCAAATTCCATGACAATCGGGTAAAAACAGCACAAGTTACAGGTTCTACAATATTTCCACAAAAATGTTGTTACCATGGCAACGATGACTCCGCCCACACCAAAAACGATTGGCGTCTTCGCTTTACTGTAACGCACCTTCATGCCAAATTTGAAGACCTGCGACCTTTATTTCCCTTCCGCTCTCTAACTCGGCCCCTAATTGACCTAGCGTGACCAAACTTGGTATGCTTACACATCTTGGGGAGAAGGTCTGTCGCATACCAAAACCACCACTGCCCTTCACCTTAGTTTGACCTTGACCGTCGACTTACATTTCCTCTTCGGCCTCCTAGGGTAACCAGATTCCATATACTTGCACATCTGAGGCACACCAGTTGTCTAACAAACCTTTGTCTTTGTGACTTGTTTAAATTTACCTGCCTTCTACGTCCTTGCAGAGATTTTCCATTCATACTAGGTCACGGGGGATACATGTAGTTGGCGACAACTGCTCGTTTCTAGTTTTGTATAAAATCACAATTTTTGCTGTCACTTAATTAGCGATGAATTTTTTTAATTGTTTTTTATCGAGAGCGTAGAGAGACGTATCTCTTATGTAATGGATATGAGTTTGATTGAATTTGATGAGGAGTTATGTTGCAATGCCCTTTACAGTGTTACCCGTCCGTAACCCTAACCAGGGCCTGACACTAATTTTTAAACCCACTTGCCCATTCGGGCAAGTTGGGTTGAATTTTCACTTGCCCGAATGTCAATCTCACTTGCCCGAAACTTCGATATTGTATTATGTGTAGTTTACCCATACTGGGGGAAAAACATAGTTGTGGTTCCTTTTAGATATATACCAGACCAAACCCTAACCCTTTTACAGACAATTATACAATGATATTTCTTTGAGAGGTATACCAATTATGTTGAAAAAGGAATAATGGTCGACCTACTCACCAAATGTTTTTTGGTACTATGTAAAATGTAATGGGAACCACAACTATTTGAATAATATATGACATGAACAAGTCAAACATTAGAACAAATTTATTTTCATGAACCTGACAGATGAACAAAGCACTGACAGATCACTCTCCCTCTTGAGCAGAATCTGCTACATTTCTCATGATAAAGTCAAGGAGTCTATCCTCCCCTTTCTGGTAATCCAGATCCTCGACTTGATCCTGGGGTGGGGCTTGTGCGGAAAATTTTGGTCGGCGCTGCCTTTGAAATTGAAATTCACACGTTTATTTTTGTGTGCAGGTACACTTGTGTGTCATTCCCGGTTGTAGCTTTTTCCTCAATTCCAGGAAAGAGTTTTGCTGTCGCTCTCTCATAGTCCAGCAATGCCTACCCTCTACATTTTAGTAGTGATTAGTACTATGCTGAAACAATCGTGAGCCCCCCCCCCGTACTTCAATCAAGGCCGCCCCTGTCAGCAGGCACGTACGCAGCGTCGATGTGCACAGCCATACACGCGTGCCTCGCGGGCCGCTTTCCTAGACCCCCTGAGCTTCCAGGGCTCTTACGCGGGCCCTTGACCCCGGCCGCAAGAGACTTCGCGCTTCACACTTCGTGATTCACATACTATAAACAATCGATCCTCCTCGCTTGTACAGACAGACACTCCTCTATTTGCGCTAGCCGTAATACACTGTTTCACGTGCGTATGTACTACAGCCCAATATGTATTCCCCACACGTAAGCTACCGTTTGACTTTGTTTTTGCAACTAGCATATATATGTGATTATTGAAAAACCCACAAATAATAAACAGAATAACATACACAGGAGACTGACTGGACTTTTTACTGTTGAGGCATTGATATTTTCTTCCACGTGTGGCAGATTGCACAGCGTGTGCGGAGTGGCTGTGTCAAGTTCCACACCGGCTCTATGTAACCGACCAATAGCAGCAGGTCAAGCGAGTCACGTGATCTTAACTTGCGGTTGCATCGCGGTTGCACTGCGGTACACGCACGTACACGCGGGTACACGCACGTACACGCGGGTACACGCACGTACACGCGGGTACACGGAGATACACGCACGTACACGTAGATACACGCACGTACACACAGATACACGCACGTACACGCACGTACACGTGGGTACACGGAGATACACGCACGTACACGCGGATACACGCACGTACACGCACTACACGCGGGTACACGCACACTCTTTCACGTGACTCGCTTGACCTGCTGCTATTGGTCGGTTACATAGAACCGGTGTGGAACTTGTCACAGCCACTCCGCACACGCTGTGCAATCTGCCACACGTGGAAGAAAATATCAAACACGTGTGATATTTTCCACACACAAGACATCGATGCGTTTGCATGCGCACACGCTGTGTTTTGTGCTGCGCCATCAGCCACGCGTGGCCGATGGCGCAGCACAAAACACAGCGTGTGCGGCGGGCTTTAGACTCACGTTGCACTTGCCCAAACGTCCATTCCAGTGCCCCGGGCAATCGGGCAGTCCTTAATGTCAGGCCCTGCTAACAGTATCCTTAACATTTTTTACTAAGCAGACAAGCTTTTGGAGCATATATTGTCTGTTACGGTTGCTGACCCCTCACAGCTAAATGCATATATAGACCTATTGTGAGCTCGTCTATGTTGCACAAATTCACTAGAACTCATTTGTATTGCTACTTTCATAACATTTCTTCTCAAAATCTAAACGAAATTACTTCTCTTATGAAAGTAGCACCACAGTGATGTTTACACATCCGGGGCACAGCGGAGCGATCGTTAACAGTTCTTTGCTATGATAAAACAAGTTATAATTCATTATTATATGTTTATTCAGTACAAAATTGTGAAATTTGTTTAAGTCGTATATCGTTATCTACATTACATACATGCAATCAGGAAACAAATATATAGTGTTTTCGTTCCAGGAACTATTTGCGCTATATGGCGTATGGATACTATTTTGGGTTATCTCGCACTTCGTACAAATAACTTGCGATTGACGTAGGTTTTCAAAATAGTCAACTTCGGAGCATATTTCTGGCTCAATGAGAACATTCATGATGTTTGAACAGTGCAAGTATGCTCATAGTAGGTCTATAGGCCTTTTGTTGCGAAGTCTATCAATTTTAACCGATTTATGGCAGTAGTAGGTATTCATATTTATTGTATCCCCCGCGACGAAGTCTGCGGGGATACTATGGTTTCACGTCTGTCCAGCCGCCGCTCGCCGCCGCAGACACTTTCCCTTCCGCTCTGTAACTCAACCCTTAACTGACCTAGTGCGACCAAATTTAGTATACTTATACATCTTGGGGAGAAGGTGTGTCACGTACCAAAACCAGGTCACTGCGACCTTTATTTGACCTTGATGTTGACCTTGATCATGTTTACCTTCCGCTCTATAACTCGGCCCCTAATTGACCTAGCGCGACCAAACTTGGTATACTCACACATCTTGTGGAGAAGGTGTGTTGCGTACCGAAACCAGGTCACTGCAACCTTTATTTGACCTTGACCCTGGCCTTCATCATATTTCCCTTCCGCTCTATAACTCCGCCCTTAATTGACCTAGCGCGAACAAACTTCTTATACTTACACATCTTGGGGAGAAGGTGTGTCGCGTACCAAAACCCCTAAGGTAACCAACTTTGACATACTTGCACATCTCAGGCAGATGAGTTGTGTAACAAACCTTTGTCTTTGTGACTTATTTCACTTTACCTACCTTGTATGTCCTTACGGAGATATTTCATTCATACTAGATCGCGGGGTATACATGTAGTTGGCGACAACTGCCATTTCTAGTTTTCACTCTTTTAGGAAGTTATATTTGTTTTGATATCGCTTATATTGGTTTGGGTGATCCATTTTTCAGAAAATTGTCACGCCAGTTGTAACAAAGGATGGGAGAAGTGTCAATGACATATTAGAAATGCATGTGATCGAGCTGCCTACAACCACAGCTGTGGAGACCATGCTTCAAACGGGCCAGGCCCATACCTCAATCAATGGAGTTGTGGTGCAGAACGGCCTTATGACTAATCAGGTATAATATATGTGTTTGTGTATTATTAGAATTAAAAATGAAATAAATGTTAAGATAATCGTAATAAGTGATAAGTAAAGTAGTTGCTAATATCGTTGGTCCAGATGGTGGTGTTATTTATTCATCAGATTTACATCTCGTGACGCTTTCATTTTGTGTAATGACAAGGTACCAACTGTACGAATGTGTTGGCGATAGCTTCTGGAAATGCGTTTTTGCGTTTGCAGTTATGATTTCTGTACAAACTTTCAGACTAACAGCAAGACGGCAACGGGTGAAGAGGTGCCAAAGAATATATTGATTACCTCTCGTCAGCAGTACAACTTGCCTGAGAATGCAGTCGTCTACTGCAACTTCAATCAGCTGTATAAGCTAGACCCAGATACCCTCCAAATGTGGGCTAATGTATGTCTGTATACACTATATAAATATAAATATATAATATAAAGATAATTCTCGTCGGTTTTAAGTTTTGTTATAGTTGCTATAGGCTTCTTGATGTTTTTACAGTTAAACCTGTATTAACGAACACCTCTATCAAACCAGGTGCGTAATGGGAACACTTGGTGTTTCCTTTGACGAACCTTGTTTGCTGGTTTGAATGCATATTTCTATGAGCTGCGCATAACTTTAGTAAGTAACACTGAAATAGCCAATTGGACTTATATTGAGATATGCATGTAATCCAGATAACATGAATGTGTGCTATTAACTGATAGTCTGATGAGTGGATTGTTGTGACTTTGCGGACCTTGTTGAGCATGTTGTAAATATCGTAACATCCTTTTAGATTGTGGTGTGAGAGTTTTATAGACTTCCTAATGGCTGTAATCATGTCGCTGAGCCGGGCATGTAAATACTTTTACAGGGTCTCCAACCATTCCGCATTCTGCGGAATCATTACACGATTTCTAGGCTTAACCTCCGCATTCCGCAGCGGCAAGGTTATATTCCGCATTTCAGTTGCACTGTATAAAATTTGCACCGATTGTTCGCATTGTTCGCTTGGACACATTGTATTTTTTTCAGCCGGTGCCTGGCACTGGCCACGCGCTGGTGCAGTACTCAGAGATGCAGCAAGTTATGCATTTTGTATCTGGCATGTCTACGGTAAATGGAACAGCCTAGTCAGACAGGCGCTGTCTACAAGGTGTCGCGTAGTTTGTCTGTTAAATAAATATTTAATCCTATATTTTAATGGAGCCATTTCCTCTTCGAGTTCTGAAAATACCAGTTCATGTTAGATTTCATTTGGATACTAAATACACGTATTATTAAAAATGAGGTGTGGTGGATTGGGTTTTGAAAAATAACTTGTAGGGTTGAGTCTAGGGTTGAGATAGTGTCATCAGACATGAGAATATGGCCCACAGTATGACTCAGATTGCAGGAAAATGGCTTAAATATTTCAAAATTTTCTGGGGGGCATGCCCCTAGACCCCCCCCCCCCTAGCACCGGCATGCCTACGGCACGCGGCCCGTCCATCAATTTCATTCCGCATTTGGAGTTCACAAGGTTGGAGACCCTGTTTTTATTTCAGTTCTCTGCTTCAATTCGCTGAGAAGGCTGGTGATGGAATCGAGAAATGACATGCTTTGCTCGCTTGTGTCGCACAGATCCTGAAGCGTGTTCCGAACGGTGTGATCTGGCTTCTGCGCTTCCCGGCCGTCGGCGAGCCGCACGTTCTCAATGCGATCCACAACATGGGCCTCGCAGCGAACCGCATCATCTTTTCGTCGGTGGCGCCAAAGGAGGAGCACGTCCGCCGTGGCCAGCTTGCTGACGTCTGCCTCGACTCACCTTTGTGTAACGGACACACGACGGGCATGGACATCCTCTGGGCTGGAACGCCGATGGTCACGCTACCTGGTGAGCGATGTGTTTGTGTTTTGATCGATGCACTTTTTTATGCTTCAATTGAACACATTTCAAAATGGTTATTTGTCACCGTAATTTGGTCGAAATGACGTGAGTACGGAAATATACAAGTCATTGAACGGTCGGTAATGTATCTGAGACAATTGAAAGTTATTTTTGTGTGTGCTTGACTGGTAGTTGTGTGTGTGTGTGTGTGTGTTTATATACTCTTAGCAGTGGTGTCCATGGTCGATTGGTCGTTCATCGTAATTGTTTCTACTTTCAGCCGAGACGCTAGCGTCAAGAGTTGCTGCGTCGCAGCTTATGGCACTTGGTTGTCCTGAATTGGTGGCCAAGTCTAAGAAGGAATACGAAGATATATCTGTCAAACTAGGCACAGACCCACACTAGTAAGTAGTTAGTTCGTTATCTAGAGTTTAGCAAAGACATTTATAGATCGGTAAATGAATTTTAATGATTTATTTCGATATCGTTGCTCAAAAACTCACAATCTGGAAAAATATACCGAAATATAGTTTGGCCTCATAGTGGATATATGACTGATTAGACCAACTTGAAAACACCTAAGAATTTATGCTGTTGTAGCATAAAAATTAGAATTGAACATGCTGTAACACCATGACATGTTTGATTATGGCGACAATTAATTTGCAAATGGCGCCTTCATGCATAAACAAGTTACAAGTGCACACAGTACACCTACTTCAACAAAATAGCATCTGATTCTGTGCAATTGATTTTGTTTCTATTTTTAAATTGGCCGATATCTCACGCTATCACGAGATAGTCAGATTCGCAAGAAATGGCAGTGGTAATCATAATGAGTTAACTCGAATCGAGTATGTTTTGGTGAATATAGCCAAGTACGAAGGTTCTAAGTCATGTTAGTGCTACTGCTACTCTAGTCAGTTGCTGTTACTCAAGCGATAGCAGTTAATATCGCATAAGTGGGGAAACACCAGACTGTTTGGAAATTGTTTTCGAAATAAATCCTTCAATAGTTCAATATGAATGTTGACCTTGTGCTTGCTACACACTGTAGTATTTTCTAATTAGTCCACAATAAGTGTAGCTTGTGATCAGTGATCTCCTAAAAATGCAGTTGATTTGCATCTCAAACGTCTTGTTTTGCTCACTTCAGTTTGAAGTCCATGAGAGCTAAGGTGTGGCAGCTGCGGCTACAGGCACCACTGTTCAATTGCCAGCACTACACAAGCGACCTCGAACGTCTCTTCCGGCTCATGTGGGGCAAGTTTGAAAAGGGAGAGGCTGTTGACCACATCACCGAGTTAGCAGCATAAGGTGTCTTGTTATGTGCGTGTGTGCACACTTGTCATTTGCTACCTTGTCGCACCTATCACACCGAAACTCGCAGTTCCTACTGTTGTTCTTTTCACTTGTGTCCGGTTAATGATGATAATTGTCTGTGGAGCACGAATGCATTTCATTTTACATAGTAATAATGGGTTTCAATTATTATTGTATGAGCATCTTTACTGATGCCTTGGTTATCCTTTAGTACCAGAAACGATATAACAGTTAAGAAAACGTTTTCTTTTGTATGTAGTTATAACATGGGTTTATATCACATAGACATAAGCTGCGTTCACACGAGGATTTCAGTACCGTACTGAGCGTTCACACGGTAAAAATATTCAAGACTTATACGCGGCTTAGCAAGTACCGTACTGAAATACGAGGCTTATTCGGCGCGGAAAGTGATTCCGCGCTGAAACATTCGGCACCGCGCTGGACGCGTATTGTCTGTCGTGTGAACGCAATTCGAGGCCTCTTACTGTAGTGCGCTTACCTAGACTGGTACCCGTTCGCTACACGACGTTAGTGTAGCGTGTGGAACTGTCGACCGGGTACCAGTCTATATTATACCTAGCCAGCTAAGCCTCGATTCTCGTGTGAACGCTACGGGTTGTTGCACGGTATTTCAGCCAAATTCAGCACCAGATAAGTACGGAACCAGCAAGGCCGTGAATCTCGTGTGAACGCAGCTATAAGCTTTCATTAGTGAGTGGTGAGTCGAATTGAATTGGTTCTGTGTGATGTTCAGTGCATGCCACAATAGGTGTTTGAACCATATTTTGGGGGAAATGCAATCGTTTCTGATGAAAAAGTTACGGCAAATAAACTGTGTGCAGTGGAAACAGCACTCATGTTGCCACTCACAGAACACCACAGAACACCTGTTATGCCATTTAGAGTTACCAGAGTATTTATTTTCATTATGCCATGTATATAGTTGCTTTTCCAGCCTCCGTGTGGGTGAGAGACACTGGCGCCTGTTTTGTAAATACATAATGTGTTCAGTAAACCTATAGATTATCTCGAGTTTTAATTCTTGGGTATATCGGAATTGGTGGTTATTTCCAATGTGCAACTGGCAGTCTAGCACTGTATGTACCAGCAGGGGAGTGTGTCAGAACTTTGATTCAACCCATGGTACGATGTTTGGCAAACTAGCTGAAACTGAAAACGTTGGTAGTGCCAAAGGGGTAACTCTTGTGATATTTTTTTCGTGTTTCTAAACGCACTTATATTACGAACCAACAGCAGTGTATATCTTATGAAGTGCTGACTACGTACTCTATGTAGTTGTCGTTCTTGTGTTTTCCAAACAATGTCTGGAAGAAATGCCTGTTGCATTTTACCCTCTAGTATAACTATTGAATGCAGAATAAAAATGGTATTTTACATGTATTTTCATCTTTAGTGTGTAGTGTACATACTGAGGGTGTTCTTTTTGGACCACACTGGCCATTCACGGTGGTCACACAGAAATACTACCGCATAGCATGCCTTTGTCAAAAAAAACAAATGTAGTGACTTAAATTTTGTGCGTGTGGATGTTGTTAAAAATTGGCACTGGTTTTAATAATAGGGTGTTATGTTTGGCAGTTATGGAAAACGTTTTTGCAACGTGCATGCTCCATTAGATCCAATCAAAAGTTCGGATAAAAATCTTTGTTTGGCTTACGTGCCTACATAATTACACTTGTGCACTTTTATTGATTGCAGTATATCTGACCTGGCACTACTGTAATATTATACTGCACTGCTTTTGCTTAGAGTGTGGATGTTAAAGTCAGATTTTACTAGGTAAAGTTTGGCTTTGTTATTGTATTTTATAAAAATTAAAGGTGATAATGATCGGTCCGTTTTGTGTTCGTGATTCTGCCTATATTAGATCTCAAGTTGTCAAACTACTCTATTATACCCTCCCCCCCCCCACGCGCCAACGAAGGTAGTGGTGGTTATACTGTGTCTGTCTGTCCAACACCAACCTTGTGCGCAGATCTCCTAGAAAAGTACTGGACTGATTTCAACCATATGGCACACATCAGTACCCAAGGTAGTTTGTGCACCTGCGATGAATTTTTTGGGTCCAGCATTTTCGGAAAGATTTATCGCCGTTTTGCATAAATAACCCTATTTGGTTGTATATTATTAGTCCAGGCATTTCGTGGAAATAAATGGGGTCAACCTCGGACAAATTGCAACAGAAAGTGTGTCAACTGTTTTATACCCAGAAATATGTCCTCTATAACATATCAAAAGGCGTTCAATCCTGGTGGTGGAAGGCTCCATGGCGGCCATTTTGAAAAATCGCCGCCATACAACTGATATTTCCCTATATCTCCGCTTCTAAATAACATAGAGATTTGATTTTAAGTGCTAAACATACATTTTCTGTGGCCAGGAATCTAATGACACACATTTCAATAAGCTAAACCTGACCAAAAAGCCGAAATGGCAGCCAAAACCAGATGTCATGGTGCTCATGGTGACCAGATATAAGAAATTTGAATACGGGACAGGAAACGATGCGAGGGAGCGGAGCGACAGAGCGGGGGAGGGAGTGGGTGTCCCCCACCCATGGTAAGAACTTTTTTTGAATTGGGGGAGTACGTATCGAAATTAGTGGTATCCCGATATCCGCGGGATAGTAGATTCTTGTGTTGGATACCAGATTGTCTTGGAGCTAATCTATGCAGACAACGCGGTGGTACACATGATGACAGACAAGGCTATTGCATGAGCAGTACGAGGCCATCTCCTTGTTGATGCAGCACTGAATGCCTTGATTTTGTCAGACGTACTTGGTGTGCCACTCCCTCAACTATCTGCAGAGCTACATGAAGGGGAGGAGACCAATGAGGCAACCGTGTCACCAGATGATGAGCCTACGACAGACGGAACTGGAAACACTGATCTTGATGAACTTGCTGCCCTCTACAAGAACCTGATAGAAGGTTCCGTGTTGGCAGAGGAGTTCTGCCAAGCTGATGTGTTAACCAGGATCAAGGAGCTCCTCAGGGCCAAAACCGAATCCTTGAAGTCCTCTAGGACTGCCACACTTTGGCTACAGTACATGGAGATGGTGGACATACTACGGAAGTTTGTCAGAGCAGAGCGCATTGGCAACTGGGCGTTGCACCTTGAAGCTGTGTCAGAAATGCTGCCCTACCTGGCAGCCTCTGGGCACAACCTCTACACCAAATCAGCCCGCCTCTATGTGCAGCGGATGAGCAAGCTCTATGATGAACATCCAGATGTGTCCTTTTGAAGAAGGGTTCCATGTTGTCAGAAGAAGTGATTGCCTATGGGCTGGTCTGTCCGTAGATCTCACCATCGAACAGGTCCTGATGAGGAGTATGAAGACCAGCGGTGGCCTAACGAGAGGGTGAGGCATGACAGAGCAACAGCGTCTCATATGGCTGCTCTCCATGCCTGCCTGTGCTGAAGTCAACAATGCTATGCAGCAGCTCACAGGTTTCAACTACAACACTGGTGAACAAAACAAGGACATGACAAATGCTAGACAAGCACGTGACATAAAAGACACACATGCAGTTATCAGCTATCTGCAAGAGAGAACACCCTTCAGCTCAGATCCGAGCTTGCTCAGCATCTCGACAGGGGTGCATGCAGCCAGCACAGTCAATGTGGATTCAGCGAAAACTGTTGGAACAGCTATCCTAACCAACATGGATGGACAAACTGCTGCTGACTACACATTCAAGAGGAAGGATCAGGCCATTACCTTGGCTGCGAAATCGGCAGTAAAGATTGATGGTGAGGCAGTATAGATGGATCCCCAGCTGCTTTTCCAGCGACTGACAATTGCTGCAAAAGCTACAGAGGATCTGGAGTCTGTGTTCAAATATGAGCTGTGCACTTACCCACCAGCTCTGTTTGATTCCACACTTGCTGCTCCGACAGCCACAGAAACCAGTGCTAGCAGATGCTATCTGGACACTACTGACACACGATGCACCCGGAATCACAGGCCAAGTCCACTACGTGTTGGATGGTGGGGCACTAGTCCAGCGCATTCCGTGGGCACGTGGATCAACATACAAAGGTATCTGCACGCAATACACAGAGTATGTCACAAAGAAGTATGGACAGGCAACAGTCGTGTTTGATGGTTATGATGGTACATCAACAAAGGACACAACACACCAGAGACGTACGAGAGGGAATGCTGGAGCAACGGTGACGTTTGATGAAGATATGCAGGTCACACTGAAGAAAGAACAATTCCTGGCAAACAAGCAGCGCTTCATCAACATGCTCAGCACCAAACTACGGGCACAGAACTGCCAGACACATCATTCTGCAGGTGATGCTGATCTCATAGTGCAGAAGGCAGTGGAGTCTGCAGCCACCACTGATACTGTGCTGATCGGAGATGACACAGATCTGCTCATCCTGCTCATCTACCACACCAACCTTAAGTCATGTGACCTGTTCTTCCAACCCGAACCAAAAAAGACTGTGAAGAAACCGTGTGTCTGGAACATGAAGTCTGTCAAGCAGCAGTTAGGCCCCGATGTATCACAGCACATCTTCATGCACGCTCTCCTGGGATGTGATACTACTTCCCGCGTGTATGGCATTGGCAAGGGAGCTTCCCTCAACAAATTCAAAACCAGTGCGCACTTCCGTGAACAAGCCAATGTGTTTGACAGACAGGCAGCGTCCACCGATAATGTTGTAGAAGCAGGAGAGAAAGCCCTGGCATGCCTGTACAATGGGAAGCCTGTAGAGTCACTCAACGTGGTGCGACATAAGCGGTTCTGCCAGATGGTCGCCTCCAGCACTTCTCATGTGCAACCCCAAAGTCTACCACCCACATCAGCAGCAGCGAAACACCACAGCCTTCGTGTCTACTACCAGGTCTAGCAGTGGAAGGGCATTGCAGCTGATGAGCTACGGCCAGACGACTGGGGTTGGCGGGAAAGCTTTGGAGGACTCGTGCCCGTGCAGACAGACTTGCCACCAGCTCCGGAAGAGCTCCTCAGACTTTTTGAGGAAGATTGATCAATGCTTCTGTACATGTATCGACTATGGTAGTCTGAGGCTATGGTATAACTACATGCAGTATTATAATAATTATGACCTATACATGTACGTCGTCCATCATGCATACGGTATGCCATGGTAGTTTTGACTGATAAGTTTAAACAATGTAACAGTTGAATGTACGCATAACACTTTCAAGAATGTATACATTTCAAAAGTATTACAAAGTCTAAAGTCAAAATCAAAGTGCATTGAAAAGTGTTTCAATTCATTCCTTGTCCCTGAAAATGTATGTTTAGCACTTAAAATCAAAGTGCTATGTTATTTAGAAGCAGAGATATAGGTAAA